ATAAAAAAAAAAAAAAAAGGTAAACCTGGCTTCACATGTATTTGTAAATGCATGCAAAAAAACGTTTGTTAGAATCAGTTTATAGTTAGCTTTTCTGTGCTGGCTAGGTGGATCAAGTGAGTGGGAATTTTTGTATTTCTCATTGAAACCTCAGACAGAGCGGTCTAATAAGGAAGAGTTACTACTTTGATCCAGTCACTTCTCAGTCACTTCTCATGTGTAAATTTTATTTAGTTTTCGCTTCTGAGCTTTGTAAACAATAAGGTTTTCACAGTAAGTTGTAAGTAACAATGAAATGCATAACCTACAATAAGTATAAGCTGGAGTAGGAACTTAAAGAAATGAAAATGTATATGTTGTATTATTTCTTTATTGACAATTTGAAGATCAGTAAAAATATATTAGCTGTGACAAGAAGATTATGTAACAGATTAGCTCATGGATCTATCAGTAAAACACTTTTCAATGAATACACCGACTCTAACAATCTGTCAATTAAAAAAAGGTGTGCACGGGGTTTGTTTAAAAATGATTTTAGTGTTCCTCACATTGCTGACCAGTGGTGAAGTACCCCCCTCACATTGCTGGTAAGTGGTGAAGTGTCCTTCACATTGCTCGTCAGTGATGTATTGCCCCCTTTACATTGCAGACCAGTGACAAATGGCTCTCTTACATTGCTGATCAGTGACAAATGGCTCTCTTACATTGCTGGTAAGTAGGAATTCTGCTTCGATCATCGTTGTCAGTAGCTACTAACCTTTAAGCGCTGCTTCTCCAACCCTGCATACTCTGCCAAGTGATGTTGGAAAAGGAACTTTGCAGGCATTAAAGATTACTCTGGGTGTTACTAGACCCAAGACACCAAGCAACAGAACTCTCAGAAGCCACAGGTGCCAGGATCTAGAGACGCTGACATTGCTCAGAACTGAAAACTGAAGTAGTAAAAAGCAAACTGACTCTTAGACAGTTTTAGTGTTTTTAAATTCTCTACAGATAACACCCCCCCACCGCCCCTTCTGCCTGCATCTGGGTTCAACTGCTTCCAAAACCTCTGTACACAATTTGTGTTTTACAAAAGCTCATGAGAAAGGATTGCCAGAGCATTGGATAACCTAAAGAGGGCACAGCAGAAGCTTGTTTTGTAATCTGATTGAAACTTAAAGCTGAACTAATAAGGAATGTGTCAGTTTTGCATGCAAATTAGAGCTTTAGCTACAGAGTTCAGGAAACAACAGGCTTTTTTTTACAATTAACTGCCAGGACGTCTATAGAAGACACACATGAAATTGAAACTAATGTCTCAGCTAATGTCTCGATTGATCTGTGTCTTTATTCAGCCTCAAATACTATGTTAATTTTGGCTTAAAATAATATGCAATATTTCATATTTACCTGACTTTTGTTTAATAAATGAATCAATCACTGCAGCAGGCCCTTCAGACTTTAGAAATGACAACGAGCAAAATGAATGTTTCCATACCAAATATTGACATTCATCTGGCTAAAAAACAAAACAAAATTGGCCCCGGAATTCCACTCCTTTCCTAACCCCTAGTTATGGTGTCAACAAAGGACTATCTAGCTGTACCATATTATTGAAAATGGACATTTTAAAACCTTTCAGCAAATAAAAGGTGCATTTACACTTACAAATTTAATGCTGCACAGCATTTTAAAATACAGCATGTATCATTTACGTAATTGTTTGAGGAGTTTCTACATTTGCCTGACAATCCGTTGGCAAATGTGCTGCAAAGTCACTACCCCAAATGACTCATGGTGTATAGACTACTGTTGACCCTACCCTTAGCCAGGGAACTGGCATATTGCAAAATGCAGTGTGGGAGAACTACCTAACTAATGAGGAGTAGGAGGAAAGCCTAGAGACACACTGCTGCATCTCTCTTAACTTGTCAAACTTGCATAATTCTAAAATTTTCACAGAACATACCCGACTCCAAAACAGTTTTCTAAAATTGTACCCTCCTATAGCCCTCTATGCTTGAAATGTTCTAGATCACCCTTTGGCACATGCTCTGGGTCTAGCCGATTTTCCAGAGATACTGGAAGCAAATAATGGTTTATACATGATGTAATGCATGGTGATCCATTCACACTTAAAACAGAACTATGTCCACTGTGCATACTGGGGACCCGAGAAACTGATCAATATACTGCTACTTTTCAACAAGAATCATTGCTTATAGCTCAAACTTAGTCAAAAACTGGGTGACTGCAGCACCCCAACGAACAATTTCTGGATTTCTGAAATTAAAGCCACTATCCCTAATAAAAAAAAAATGGTCTATTTAGTTGCCTATACAAGCAGATATCATAATGTAATAAATAATGTATACATTGCAAGTATCTCCATAATTCGGAAAGGGGGTACATGGTAGAACGTCGTGTTTTTACATCTCTCTTCCTACTGAGAACAGTTCCCCTTGCTTCCTATTTCAGTGCCCACAGTGCTAAGGAGATATTTCCCCATTAGGGGGGGAAAAAAAAGAACCATGGCCGGTGTTCTAACTCTTCCCCACTTTACCCAAAACAAAACAAATGTAACTGCCATTCTATTTTAAATGTATCAGTTTACATCCCACTACATTGTAGTACTCTATCTCTGTGTATATAGCCATACTTACAGCGAAAGTAAAGTTTTCTGACAGAAGAGACTCTATGGGGGCAATTTATCAAAACTGGAGCAGACAAATTCTGGAGCAGTTGCCCTTGGCAGCCAATCAGCTTCTCTCTCCAGTTTGTTCAGTTAAGATTTGCTCCAGATTTTGTCTGCCCCAGTTTTGATAAATTCCCCCTATGCCTCTTCGATCATAATTGCTCTTACCTGCCTGTTAGCATTTGTACGCACTGAGCCACTCACAAAATTGCAGTGCTGGTGAGGATCGCCTACAAGGGAAGTCTGCCATAATATGGTAATATGCTGTGCATAGTAGCAAATTATGGCAGACACTTCCTGGGGGACCACTATTTGTGTTGGTGGTTTACTACTGCTTGAATACATTGCTGACAAAAGAATATATTTGTCCTGAAGTTCACTTTTAAGGTCATATTGAGAGAAAAAACCCCAAACACAAACAATGTCCACTGGATCTGGAGAACTGGTACATGTATTCAGAAAAACAAGACTTTAAGGGTAATTTCAAAGAAGAAAGTTGTGAATATAGGACCTTACAAAATCAGATCATGATGGAGATAGTCTTGCACTGTAAATTTCCCTGGGCTTACTGCTGAAACTGGTTTAAAAGTAAACAGCAATGCTTGATACTTCTTCACTCTGGCTATACAATACCAGCCAATCACACTGAAACACATTAAAGTGAATCTGACCTGTGCTAAAATATTTCCCCAATGCAAATGTCCACAGACCATGATGTGCCTGCAAGTACCTGTGATGTCTGTGGACATCACTTGGATCCTAGGAGCAAAGTCTACATGGAACCTAAACTGCTGCCCAAGTTGGTTTAGGACCCTACCAGTGCTAAGCTCCACCTTCTGTCATTCAACTGCCAAAAGTCAGACCTTCAAAGGGTAGTAAACAGCTAAATGACAGAGAGTGGAGCATTGATCAGTACCTATATTAGTCTTCAGTTTGTTCCCTGTGGAGCCCTCTGGATTCCAGGCTCAGGTGACCTCCACTTGGGCAAAAGTTGAGATCACCTGAGCCTGGAATCCAAAAGGCTCCACAGGGAACAAACTGAAGACGAATATAGGTACTTGCAGACTTCCGCACTGTTACTTGAAAAAAATGTTTTAGGCCATGCCAGAGTTGCTGTAAATGAGTGGGTATTATTCAATTATGTTTTTTTTTTAAATCTAAGCCATATTCACAACATTAAAAAATATGTAAAACACACCACAATGTCAATATTAATAGATCTGTGCTCTTCCCATCAACCATGCTCTCACACTTAAATGTGGTAATGTCATGCACATGCTCAGTTGACATCTGTTGGTTATCAGACTAGAATTTCCACCACATTTGAGTGTTTGGGATCATCTTGTGCACAATCAGTGGACTATTTTATGTGACTTGATATTTTAATAAAAATATTTTAATATGTTATATGGTGAGAAAAACACATGGCATGCGTTTTGTTCAATTCGTGACAACAACCATTGGGAGAGGAGGACTCTATGCGAAAACAGCAGCAGAGTCACAGGGAATATCCATTATAAGTTAAACCCTTTCCAATAAGCGATCTGCATCGTTAGACCTTCGTTATTAACGAAGCTTCACCTGGTTGCACACATTTAAACGGGACACTGGAGGACACTGGTTATATGTTTTGATAACTTTTTTTTTTATACTGAACACATTGGGGGGGGAATTTATCAAAACTGGAGCAGGGAAAATCTGGAGCAGTTGACCATGGCAACCAATCAGCTTCTCCCTTTCCTTTTTAAATCTTGGCTGAACAGACTGAAAAGTGAAGCTGATTGGTTGTCATGGGCAACTGCACCAGATTCAGTCTGCTCCAGTCTTGATAAGCCAGCCCCTCCCATTGTTTTTCTTTCCAAAGGATTGACACATCAGTATTGTTTCTTCTCTATTAATATTGACATTGTGGTGTGTTATATATAAATTTTTTTTATGTTGTCAGCGTAGCACAGATATTTATATATAATTTTTGGAAGAACACATGTGCAATGACTGCTTGCAGCCACTTCTGATTGAGATTATATATATATAGATATAGATATAGATATAGATATAGATATAGAGAGAGAGAGAGAGAGAGAGAGAGAGAGAGAGAGAGAGAGATCTATATTATTGTTTTGTTTTTTTTCTTGTATAGACTAACCTATGCTAAGGTTAAGCAAAAGTAACTATGGCTTATCCTACAGTATGGACATAACACAAATGATAGAAGTGCAACACATGAAAAACATCATAAAAACAAAACATAATTAGCCACACATGGTGCATATTAATGAGTAGAGTTTACAGAGAAAGAACAATGAAAGATTAAAATTCTTACCCCTACTTGGCATCAGCAGGCGCTTCTTCATGTTGCCTGTCCAAGCACAGATAAAACAGAAGAAAACAAAACACATCAGCATTTTTTCTTTAACAAAAACAACTGCAATATACCCAAATGCAAGTACATTTCACTTCAGACCCATCAGCATTTTTTTTTTAACAAAAACACATCAGCATTTTTTCTTTAACAAAAACAACTGCAATATACCCAAATGCAAGTACATTTCACTTCAGACCCACAATTAGGATTAGGCTTCTGGGATATAGTAGAAATTACCTGACTTCTAACTAATAAATAAAACAGGAATAGTAAGAAAGAAATACAATTACCTCACACTATCGACTAGAAAGTTACATGCACATAGGAATAGTTGATATTTAATGCATGAGGCTTGTAATTTTGGGGAAAAACATGAACAGCATAGCATACGAATAGCTTAACTTCAGTGTGCATTAGTAACATACCTAGTCTGATTCAACTTTTTACCAAGACCTTATCGTAATCATTTAAATGACAATAATTAGGCAGGGTTAAAACGGACACACGCCTCCAGTTGGCTGCTACCCCAGACTGCTCTGGCGGATCCACTATTGTAAGGTTTGCAAAACTTTATACAAGAAACATCTTCTTGGATCCTATCAGAAAAGCAAAACTGACACACTGTATCTCATATAGTTGTTTTCAGTTAAACTATGGATGGAATTTCAAAATAAATGTGTCACATCTCAGGCTATAATAGCAAAACAGAAATGATCAAATATATGTTTGGAAAAAAAGCTTAATGCACAACTATCAATAACCTAAAGAACCTCTGGAGAGACAGAGCAGTGCAATATTGTTAAAGCACCAAAATAATTACCCTACCTTTTATGGAATTTTCAAATGGATATTTTATATGTTTTTATATCGGACAAAACAAAACTTAAATGCATTTGGTGTATATAAACTTTTAGTTTATTGCTTCCTCAGAATAGGCTTTTTGCTCTACTCACCATTAAATATTTTTTTCCCCAGTAGTTCACTGGAGGACATGCAACACAGGCTCAGGAGTAGTAAGCAGTTAAAAACTGGAAAAAGGGAAGGCAATCTTCCGTAAAACTTTTTAGGGGCCTGTGTCAAAAGTATTTGTTTTGTGCCAGAATGGTTTCTCTCTCCATGCAAGTCAGTAGGAATGCAAAGCAGTGGGAAGCAGGTTGATGCAGCTTAGAAAAAGGCTGAATGTGAGTCATGAAATCATCTGCAGAATAAATGTACAAGTCAAACTAGGAATTATAATTGTTTAAAAGCCTTTAAAATTGATCTCAAATGAAAGCTGAATGCACCTTGTAGAAAACTGCGTTTGGTCAGTATACGAGTCCAAAGTTTCTTGACAGGGGCTCCAATTGTGGCAACAGTCTAACAAAAAGGAGACACTCAATATTAGGGCGGGAGCTGTGTCCTTTAACGTACTACTAGGGAAGAGAATTTTATTCTCTTCCCCACTGAAGATTTCAGAGCTCAAAAAATACTATTTTCTTCCAGCATTCATTGAAAGGCACAGGACTCTTATTCTTTCACATCTAAAAAATCCCAAAGCAGTTCCAAAAATGAAGAGCAAGCCAAAACGCAAAAAGAAAAACAATAGCACTATAACCAATTCTCAAAATTGTAGTGTAACCAGATCACAGTGCTAAACCAGAGACACCAGCACTCCAGGGTGAAAAACAACAAACGTCTATTTATTGACGTACAGCATAACAAGTATTGCAACAAACGTTTCAGGGTCGCACAGAATCCCCCTTCCTCAGGCAAAAGCTTTTGCCTGAGGAAGGGGATCCTGTGCGACCCCGAAACGTTTGTTGCTATACTTGTTATGCTGCACGTCAGTAAATAGACGTTTGTTGTTTTTCACCCTGGAGTGCCGGTGTCTCTGGTTTTGCTCATATTTGTGACGGCTGCCATCCGTCGCCTACCGTAGCACCCGCTTTTTGAAAAGGGATCTGGCGGTCAGGAGTGCGATGGGACTATGGACTTTCAGATCACAGTGCTGTCTCCAGAACCTTATCTCTAAAGCTAGCATACACATCCACAGAATACAATATGGTAAAAGTGTGGACTGAGTACTAGGCAGCAGCTTTGTAAACATGGTAGACCAAAGTCTGGAGCTGGAAAAGGCCAAGATGTCACGAAAGGAAAAGGCCAATAGAACAAACACTCACTGTACCGAGTGTTAAAACTGAGAGACTCACAACAAGTAAGTTGATGTAACCGGTTTACAAGGCCAAACAAATGTATAAATTACTGACTGAGTGCGTAAAGAGAGTTTCTTCTCTCTAAGCACTAAGCTTCAATAGCCATACTAATAAAACTAGTGACTGAGAAGCAGGATTGGTCCTTGGAACACAAGTTGTGGTCAATTCAGAAGCTGCCACAGAGCAACGGCAAGCCCTGAATTATGACAATCAGCCTTTTCTTGCCCAGTCCAGAACTATCAGGATGATGGGAATGCCTTCCGATTTAATCCTCCCCAGAAGTTAAGGAAGAAGCTTTGGTACATACTGCACCCAAGTAGTGACAGGAGCATTTGCTGCTTCTGCAACTGGAGCACTTGTTATAGCTGTGAACTTGCCCACCTTGGGACGCCATCACGTCCACATCCGGTGTTCCCCACCATTAACAGATCTGCTGCAATATGTCCTAATGAAGAGACCAATCTACTGGCTTGAGACACTGAAGATTGAGGTCAGTCTTCTCCATTTCTAGGATGTAAAAAGCCTAGAGGGTGAGAGCCCAACATTCCTCCCAGCAAGATGTTTTCCACTTCTCTAGCTGCAGTCAAGCTTCTTGAGCTATCCTCACAGTTTATGTATTCCATCACGGAGTGCGATACTCACAGCTGATGGGTCCAATGCAGCAAGCACTTCCAGCAAGCTCCTTAAAGGAGAACTATGGGGTCAGTGTTTTTCCCCATAGTTCTCCTTAGGGTAACGGGAGGACACAAACTAGCGTCCTCCCGTTACACTAAACTCAGTATACCGCGAGCTACAGCTCGCGGTATACTGAGACGCCGCACCTGGAGCGGATCCCGACGTAGATGACGGGATCCGCCCAGCTGCGTGAGTGACAGCTGGCTCTGCCTATCAAGAGGCAGAGCCAGCTGTACCCGCCCCCTCCCCCGTCCATTCCGCCAGTCAGCGCTGGCAGATCGGAGCGGGGAGAGGGGAATCCAGCTCCTCCCCCTGTCACGGCAGAGAGCCGTGACAGGATCGAGAGGTGAGGGAACCCGGTATGTGTTCCCTCACCTCCTGATCTACTGAGCCGACCTGTGACAGTCTCATTGTCACAGGTCGGCTTAGAACTATGAGGTGAGTGGAAATCACTCATCTCATAGTTCTCCTTTAATCTGCATTCTTCTTGTGTCCAGAGTCTCCAGACTGACAGAGTGCCAGTCCCAGATAGGGAGGTTTGTGTTCATGGTGAGAATCAAAAAAATAAAGACCTGCCCAGAATTACCATTGGCAATCAGTCACCATAAAAGAGATGCCTTAGTGAGGAGTTGTTAACAAAACTCCCTGTGAGAGAGAGAGAGAGATATCTGGCTCACCTGGACAGATTCTCCATTAGTAAGGCTCTGGCGTGGAACTGAGTAAAAGGGGCCATCAGTCCCAGAACCTGCATGCAATTGCACAGAAAGGACCTGTCCTGTAATTGCACGTGCCGGACCCGAAGTCGTAGAGTTTTCTGCCTCTCTATGGGCAAAAAACCTTTGCTAGGCTGGTATAAAGGATTAAGCATTCTAGGTGCTGAGTCGAGGTTAGGAAGGATTTAAGATTTAATTTAAGTGTCAATCAAATTTCTTTTGAGATCAATAGCCAAGTGTTCTGCAGGTTGGCCTGCTATTTTCGAGCAGATGCTTCCTTGATGATCAAGTTGTTAATAAGGAACAATTAATAAGGAATCACCAAATTAACCATGGTTCTCAGCAGCACCAGGACCTTGGTAAACATTCTAAAGGTGAATCAAAGCTAACCCGAACACCACAAATTGAAATTGATGTTTTTTAATGCAGAAGCGTAGGAAACGCTGGTGACCAGGGCAGATTGCAATATGAAGGTATGCACCTCTAATCTATCCATCGAGGCCAAGAAATCTCCCTGCTGAAGAAAGAGGGTATCACTGAACAAACTAATTCCAATGGCAACTTTGTGTGTGAACAAAGGTGTACACATCCAATCTGGAAGTTAATATTGGGCAGAGAGATCAGTCTCACTTTTATACAGTGACAAAGTTTGAGTAAAACTCCCTGAAGTGTTTGTGATAGGGAACTGCTGGGTCAACCACCCCCCTGGGACACAAGCCTCTGTACCACTTTGAACGAGCTTGCAGTTTGCTGCAGAGAAAGATAAAGGGTTTGAGCAAAAAAAAAAAAAAAAAACAGTTGGGAAAGGGGAGGCAAAAGCTCTATCTTTAGCATTAATCTCACATTATCTCAGTGACAAACTGAAGAGACAGTGGAGATCCTTTGGTGTGGAGAAACTGCCAACCCCAAGCATACAAATATCTTGGTCAATTACTTCTATACCCTCCATTACAGTAGAATAAGTGTAAGGTCCCAGCACTACTCCATCAAAAAAAAATCTTCACTTCACACAGGAGTTTAAAGGCCCGCTTCAGTGAAATACTTAATTTGTAGTGTCCAATCCTCCTACAGACAACAGCCATGCCCACACATTGAAGAACAGTCTTGACTCCTTCAATTAACTCCTGAATGAAAAGCTAATTTTCTTACCTCAAAATGCCAGGGATTAAAAGTAGTTAACAACTGTGTTAGCAAACTCAAAGCAGTAACGACTGTGTAAAACATTATGGTGTTATCCTGTGTCCTCCATACGTTAATGCGATAGTGGAGGCAAATGTAAAAATCAATCCAATTTATGTAGATATATGCAAATTCAGGTTTAATGCTGATCTCCAGAAACAAAATGCTAAATACACAGATGAAACACATACAGTATATGGTCTGCACCCATAAAACGGTTTGTAATAGTATAGTG